TTTTATTTATTAATAAAAAAATTTAATGTTTAATAAATGATTTTTTTACTGTATTGCAATTGCATGTATGCGAATGGAAAGTCGACTAACGACAAACTTTGCATTTTTGAAAATCACACTGTTGTCCCTGTAATAGTTCTCTTCTGTTATTTTTAAATAAATTAATTTAGTTTAAGTTTTTCAAATTATGGCTGTCATAAACTCCTCATCGACCTATAATCAATTACTTATCACTGATGAATATCACAAGCATCTAAGTCCATTTCAACTGGAAATAAATTTACATACTTCATCTTACTAAACGATTTAAATATTTTTAATTCAAATAAATTATTTCTATGATTTTATACCTACTTTAAGTACATATTAACAGTTTTCAAAGCATGAATAAATTTGTCTCATAAACATGTTCAATCAAATATTTTTTATAATATTATACATTAACCGAAAAGCTTCAAACCTTATGTACATGGAAAACAAATATTGTGCCTCAACACGATTCACTTTTTTTAGGCATAATATATCAAAAATGTATAAACTTGACCGAAAGAATTAATCTTCTATGCTGTATTTTCTGATAATTAGAATTCATATGCTCCACGAGAGACAAATAGAGTTAAGAAAAAGTAACTTCAAATCATCAAGTCCATTTATGGAATAAATTAATGACCTAGTCCTAATTATACGTAACATTATTACCCTCTATATGCTACAACTACTAATTTGATTGCACTATTGTCACCAATCCTTGGCCGTTGCGTTCATGCGATTTCCATGATTTCTTTGTCTACAGCTACAGTACAAAGAGACTCTCATTCATTTATACATATTGTTTTCTATATAATTATATATTTTTTGGAGCTCATTGTATGTATTACAAAATACAATTTACACGTGTAAAAAAATAAATCGATATAAAACATGATCTTTGAATAACTTCCAATAAAATCTTCATTTCTTTCAGTTTACTCTATCTTTTATCTCGATACATCGATTAAATACATTTTTTTTAATATCCGTGCAATGTTATTTTCACGTCACACGATTACATTGTTCGTGTGTCAATAATTTTTGTTACATATGTGTATCTTACCGAGTTCCACACTACCGCATATTTTCAATCCGAGTGTAACTTTTGGTGAGACCTTTAAGTGTTTAATCACACGAGTCGTGCGACGCAGGTGTACAATGAGAAAAGAAAAAAAAGAAGCAGCAACTTGGACAGGTTTCTTAGACCTTTTTGAGCATCGGCAAATTGAGCGCCTGTGGCACTTCAATGTCTTCAAGACGGATTTTAGAAGGGTTGAAAGAAAACCTGATTGGATAGGTGAACTTGAGATCCATGAGTAACTGAAACGAGAGTTTTTATTAAAATTGCAATTAATAACAATGCTCATGGTGTGAAAAATATACTAAGCCCCTTTCCCAGATCTTAGACTACAATAGTTCGAGTCATCGCTGTCAATGTAAGATTTTTTCAGTCGTTGCGTTGAAAGAAATGATCGATTTAGTGACTTTTACAAGCTTGCACAAAAAGATACAATAAGAACGGACAGGAAAAGTTTTATAACTAAAACGTACATCGTACAAAGTGAGTATAAAATTACGGGAGGTAGGAATAATATTTTCCTTCGGATAAGTAGTTGAAACCCCGAAAATATGCGAACAACATCAAAACTCATACAAGTATCTCGTCAGTTAAATAAGCTTATTCAGAATTGGAGGCACGTGAAAGAAAATTATTATAATCTCACCTGCTCTTGATTCTCTCCGCGTTCCTTGAGTTTGGCCTGCACCTTCTGGATAAACAACACGGGCACGCGAGTCTCGAATTCATCGGCTGGCGTGTAAAGATTCAAAATCTTCACAATCTGATTGGCACTGAGTTTGTCGCACATCTCGCAAACCGAGTCGACGTCCTCGTCCTGTTTTCTCGCCTGCAGCAGCTGTGCAGCCTGTACTATCGGCTGCAGAGCGTCTATGGCTATGGTCAGGCGCTCGTCCCTTGCCCACTGCTCCAAGTGACTCAGATTGTACCTGATGCAGAACAATGTTATTGTTTACTCGTTCGTACATACCTACTTTACAGCTGTGTCGAAAAAAAGTCAAGTAATGAACTTCAAGCAAGTATTTAGAACAAAAAACAGACATTAAACGTATTACTTAAAGTGGTTCATGCTTTCTCTAGGTTTTTTTTTTGCTTAAAGTACAACTTTTTCCATGATAAGGCAAAAAAGATCATAAAACATTATGAGCTCTGCTATACCGCATGGCTTTGTAAGTTTAATCATGCTTTGGTCTTAAGGTAATTTATCTCATCACTTTGTAGTATTGACTAAAATTTGACAATAATTTTATATGACGTTTTAAAGATATTAAATTTCAAAGTAATATATTTTAGAATCTAAAGTAAATGCAAACCGCATAAGAAATGGACGTTATAATTGATTAGGAAAAAAAATCGTTGATTCAACTTTTTTTTCAAAAACTTAACTGTTATTTCTAATAACTTTTAAGGACGGTATATTAAAATCTTTAATCCCTTTAATTCCTTTAAAAAATACAAAAAAATTTTAAATATTTATACAATTTAAAAAATTTGACTAAATTAAAAAATCATACAAGTAATGTACCATTCAACCGTGTGAGAACTATCTTAAACAACATTTTCGAAACTATACTGTACTATTTTATGGTAACTTAATGATTTCACAATTGACTGAACGCAAGATTTGTACAAAATTAAATTTTATTCGCAGTAAGCTTTTACGTAATTCTTGCACAACATTGCCGTTGAGAAATAAAAGTACAGTCATTAATACTTATGTATCACAAGACTATTCTCACCGAATTTGCATGCCCTTGGTCCAGTGGCACATTTCGTTCCTGAGCAGCAGATTGTTGAGCGCGCTGGCGCACATAAAGTAAAACAGCTGCTTGAACAGCTGAGCTATGATGTCTTGATCGACGACGTGGTACTGGAGCTGTTTGTTGATAGCCATTAGCTCCTCGAGCAACTTGTTGAGCTTTTTCTGAGTGTGATCTGACTCCTGCTGGTGGCCTTGCGAGGACGGCCTCCTCGACCGCTTGGAGTGACCGTCCAGACCGGCTATCGCCTCGTGCTCCAGCAGAGCAGGGACCGTCAGTGGCTGGACCTGTTCTTTCAGGTGCGTGATTATGTTGTTGAAGATCCAGAGTGCCACGTTGCTCAGGATCACGCGGTACTCGCCCAGGTCGAAGTTGCGCAGGCACTGCTCGTTCTGTCGCAGGGTGTTTTCTGACCATCGGAAACCAAGAGATACCATAGATCAGTACCGTCAGTAATTTTTACCAAAAAACCACGGTTACTTTGAGAAGCCATGATTTACTGTAGTTTAATAAAATTTTCCTTCCCTTCCCGAGAGTATTTTTACCGTAATTGTGCCGTAAAACTTTCTGTATTCACACAATATTTTCACAGTGTGTTTCCAACATTTGTGACCCCTTTCTCCGTATACGTAGTCAATCAGTAAACAATATCCACGGAAATATACGTTTCAACAATGCATGTTCGTTGATATCAGTCACGAAACAATACAGCGGGGACAATGAGAGAAACAAATAGTAAAAATCACTGTGTTACAATAGTAAAAATTACTCGTACTGTTGGACCGTCTAGATACTTTTTACTATTTGAACAATAATTTTTAATGTTCATAACATTAATTTTTGTTGTAAGTGTAGTGATTCTTACTGTTTTTACTGGAGAATTTACCGTCCAGAAAGATAAAAATTAGGTTGGCCAAAGTAAAAAGTCTCTAGACGATAGAATGACACCAGATTACCACTCTAGCAGAGTAATTTTTATGGTTTTTTTCTCTCAATAAGGGGTGGGGGGGGATTCCTTGAGAATGAATAACTTACCGATCTGGAAGGGCTTGTCACCAGAGTACTGTTTCATGTTGTGCAGCAGTCTGAGCGTGTTGCTGAGCCACAACGCGCTCCATTCGAAGTCGTCGTGCCTCTTGACGGCTCGCTTGGTCGTGTTCACGTAGGCCGTCAGTAGCGCGCGAAATTTCTCATCGTCGTTGATGAAATCCGTGTGCCTGATGCACATGAACAGTATGTAAGCCGGCAAGCTGGGCAGCAAAGTTATTGCCGTTCGAGGATTCAGTTCTGCGAATTATACGGTGTCTTGTGAACACTACTTTGTGATTCGTGTGAGTTGTTGTTGCGCGTATTTAGTGAAATGCGTTTTTATAACGTCGGATACTGTACAACGTAAATGCAAGTTAATGGGAAGTAAAATAAATTTTTTCACTAATAACCCAAGTTGCGATTGTATTGTAATTGAATCCACGTGGAGCGAACATAAAATCCGCGAGGACACTGGTAACGGGATGGTTACGCAAAGTATTGTACGTTAGATACGTCATGAAAACTTCATCCCACATGAAGACAAACAATACTTCTCCGTATACAGTTATCGTTTAACATTACAAGCATTTGCTAATAAATAAATATACCTGTGATGAGGTTACGCATGATGGCATTGATGTCCTCCTTCTTGAACTCGAACATACCCTCGTAATCTCGTTCTTTTTTGCGGATGACAGGCATTATATTGTTGCTTTCACCTGACGAATGCGTTGTCGTTGACACTATGCCGAAATTGCTGCTCGAATCTGCACTCTCTGGAACTGTTAGTACAGTAAAATAATATATAACAAATATGTTTAGCTTCAAGATAAAATTAGATCCTTCCAACAAAAGAACAGTTAATGATTATTATGATAAAACGATTGTTTTGACTAAAAATAGGTTAATGTTGTTTTATATTCTACTTTAGATAAATCCCATACGAAACCATCCTGCAAAAAATCCTGCAGAAAATACTGCACGAACCCTGCAGGTGAATCTGCAGTAATCCCTGCTGAGTTATTGCGCCGATTTCTTGCAGGATCTCCAGCAGCTTTATCTGCAAGAACTCCTGCAGACTGGGTTGTCACAAATTTGCAAGAAAAAAAATTGTGTCCAGATCGAATTTATTGATGGTATATCAGCCGTATTAGACGATATTATTCGGACGATAACACCAAAACTGGAGAGTTGAAGTGTTTTAGAACGATTCATTTTAAATCATCCGAATGATATCGTATGATATGGCTGATATACCGTCAATAAATTCGATCTGGACACAATTTTTCTTCTTTAAAATTTGAGGCAACCTAGTCTGCAGGAGCTCTTGCAGGAAATGGGTGCAATAACTCTGCAGGGATTACTGCATTTTACTTCCACGGCTCCTGCTGGATTTCCTACAGCAATTCTGCAGGATGATTTCAAAAGGGAATAATCAATTGTAATAATTATAAAAATGTACTTGGCAATAAGCATAATTATGTTCACGTAAAAAAACATGGGCGTGTTGGAATTCTAATGTTCGTTCACAAGATCGTTCGTTCCAGAACTAGTGCAGATTGAACTAAATACGGAGCAAACGATAGTAGCAGTACTACACACAAAAATCCAATGATTGTGTTCATAGTCGTCAATTCACTCTAAAATTTAGAGGGATGGTGAATTGTAACTGTATAAAGAATTTCTCACAATATAATTCATTTTAATCAACCGAATCTTCTGAGTCGATTTGATCTATTCACGTCGATTTGAGTCGTATAAAATTGAAAACATCTAGCTAACATGTGATTGATATGTAAATAATCTTTTGTGTGTAAGCTGCATTAATTACGGAACGAAAGACAGAATTTGAACACGCCCTATATGATGAGTCAACGTCAAGTAGTATGTAAGATATCAACCTACGGTTATGCAAACTTGATGGATTTTTATAGAAAAATGATTCAAAATGAACAAAGTAAGTATATGAATCAGATGTGATATCGAAGGAGTATTTTTCAATGAAACAATAAACGACATCTTTGTAAGGGGGGACAACTAATGAGTCCTCACCGGTTGAACGTTTCTTAGTGCGCAAACGAGGTTGCGAATGGTATGCCGCATCTCTTTCAGCTTCCTCTGTTTCGTTTGCATTTAAAAAGGGTAAGTATTTCAATAACGGTTTGTGTTAACAATCGAGACATGATACTGTATTTTTATAATTATATGCAACGTAAAATTAGTAGCTTTTAGTTGTAGCTTAGCTGTAGACTATGCAATTGAATTTTTAGAGAGAAACTTACGCCCTGCTTCTAAAAGTCGCTTCTGAAGGCTCTTGATCTGTTTCTTGAAATTCCTGCATTCCTCGGATAGTTTGTCATACTTTTCTTGAAGTTCCTTTAGAAGCAATTTGAAATTTCACATGATTTAGAAGTATCTCTTATAGCAAAACCATCTTCAAAAGCACACAAGGTTTTTGAAATATTGAAAAACGTTGTTGCCAAAATTTCAATACGTTAAATCTACAGTACGATTCTGAAAAAGTTTTAAAAATGCTGAAAATATTTGCTGCTTTTTGTCAAAACGAATTCTGGTTTTCTTCCTTACCATCTAGATGACAACGTATAAAGTGGAGGATTAACGGACTTTATGATAGTTTTTAACCAAATTAACTTAGCATTACAAATTAACACAATAATACAATAACACAATAACACAATAATTAACACAATAGAAATCCAGAACTGTTTTTCATTGACAAAAAAACAGCAGAAATTTCTGACGATTTTAAAGCTTTTAGAAAATTTTTTTAAACGTCATAAAATTTTGGAAACAATTTTTCCCAATATCATGTTCTACAAGCATATGTGACAACTTACCAAATTTTCGGACGTCAACCTCGCAATTTCGTACTGCATGTAGATCTCGGACTGTGATTGCGATGGCTTGCTCAGGTTGGCCGAGAGAATTTTCTGCTGTTTCTGGATCTCTTCTTGCAGCCGGTCAATTTCTGCACACCATTCCTCCCTCTGTGACTTCCATTCTCTGTCCTTCCTTTGCAGTTCGTCCTCCAATTGTCTGTCAATAAAACAAAAACAAAAAAAAATGTCTTTGATCCACGAAAAATTCAATTAAAAAACAAATCGTATTGTCATTTTTTTACGGAGCAATAAGAGTTACCATGATAAAATTAATTAAATATTAGACAATTTTGAAATAACAAAGACGCTCTACATCTGCTACTTGAACAGGATAAAAAAGCTGATCGAGCAAATTCATTGTTAAAAACCAGTAGACAACTCACTCGTTAGAGAGCCTGCTTATTCTTTCAGCTCTACATAGTTTATAAATTAATGGCATGCACAAAACGAGACATCAAACCATAAGACTTTTGTGAGATGAGGATCTTTTATTGTTTTAAGTAATTTAAAAACGTTGCTCTTGCTTATTTCATTTTACAAGTTTCAACAAATTGTTAATCACGAAACATTTATGTCCAACAAAAATGATGTCCACAAGAACATTTTGAAACAAAAACGTACGTGAAGAATAAAAAAAAATTCAAGGTCCCTCTCACCTGTTAATTTGCTTCTGAGCCTCGAAAGCGAGTACCAACTCGCCGTCCTCATTTACGATGTCCACGTCGTGGCCGTAATTCGTGCCGGCACTCTTCATGCGCCGCATCTGATCCGCCAACACACTGTGTAGCTGAATACACTCCTCGCGCCGGCGTTGCAGCTCCTCTTGTAACGCTTCGAATTGTTCTGTCGCAAAAGTAATGAAAAATTATTCATAAGGATTTTCCATAACCACTTCAAAACTGTTCAACGCTTGGCTTACCTATCAGTGTTTTAGGAGCGTTTGTCGTCGAGTCAGCCTCGACCACGCTCTTCCTCAACGAGCCCAAATCCCTCTTGAGCTGGGCGTTCTCCATTTCCATCTCCTGCAACTGTTTCAAGTACTAATTCTTACAACATTAGAGTCATGCAGTGAATGGGATTAAAAAAATAGTAAAGTTAAATAAAAATCACACAAATTAAAAAAAACTACAAGTATATAAATATACAAGTACGCCCCTTTGTTATGCGCACTTTGATTACGAAGTCCAGTGAATTGTATCGAGAAATCTTCCTGGATTTTACAAAAAACACATCCATTTTTTGGAACATACATTGAATCCACTGGAATACGTACTTCATTTATTTACGATCCAACAATTTTTTGGTAATCATGTGTTGTATTCTACAGTACAAATGAGTTTTTTTTTAATGTGCACTTTCATAAAAACAAGAGTTATATAATTCAATATTTAAACATGGCTTTTTTATTACTAGTCATTAAGAAGCATTCGAAATTATTAATGTCATTAATATATTCAGGACCATAGGACTACCGAAACTCTAATTTGTATTGTATAACCCACTAAAAAGTTCACATTTGCTGTAGAGTAGAAGTCTCCAAAAATGTATTAGGATACATCGCTTTATATCCAATAAGATATAACAGACAGTCTTATTTTACTTTACATCACTTTGATTTCATAAAGAGTCTGTAAATAATGTAGACTTGTCTGCAGAATTCCGGAGCAATAAATATGCAGGCATGTCTGCACATAAATCTGCAGACAGCTCCCGTAAAGGTACCTTTTCAACCTATGCAATTCCTAATAGACCGGGAAAATTATTTTTAGTGACGATTGAAGTGTCAGGAATTGTTACGCTTAACTCTTTGTATCCAAGCTGTAGTTTTTGCTCTATAAATTTCATTGAAATCAATTCTTGACACTTGAATCTTCACGAAAAAATTTTTTTTGGTCCAATAAGAATTGCATGAATTTGTCAAGATTTTTTCGCTTATCCTATCTGACTAAGGTAAAAGTACCAATGCTGGAACACACTTTTTAATTCTGTCCCAATGGTGGAACAGTTAACAACTGATAAACGTTTGAGAACTTTATCTTAAAAAATTTTACTATAGATCTTTAAAGTGGGGTCTTGTCACATCTACAAAACTTATCATCTATCTTCAATTGCATTACAATGAAATAAAAAGTTTATTAAAATTACTGTTTCATTATACGTACAATTCAAAACATAACCTCAAATTTCGGATGTCCCGTTGGTGAAACACATAGATTCTATTGAAATAACATGTACGTTTCACCATTGGAACATCACGTACCACTATTGGGACATGTATTCCCAATGGTGTTTCACTTTAGGTACAACATGACATAGTAAGTTTTTATTAAATTAAAATTATTTCTTGTTAAGATAAAATTCATCAAAAAATGTATTTAATAAGTAGGCAGCAAAATATATCAACAAGACTTTAAATGCTCGTGTTATCTTCTACATGTAATTTTGTATGAATTTTAAAATAAAATTTCACCAAAAAATCGTTCCAGAATTGGTACTTTTACCTTAGTTGGTGATACAATTTGGATAGTACATGGAAAAATGCATCTTTCAAAGTATTCTATGTAAATTTCTTGTTGAGATAAAATTCATCAAAAAATGTATTTAATAAGTAGGCAGCAAAATATATCAACAAGAGTTTAAATGCTCATGTTATCTTCTACATGTAATTTTGTATGGATTTTAAAACAAAATTTCACCANATGTAAATTTTTAAAAATAAAATAAATATCTTTAATTCTCAGGTGCTTTCTCAAGTGAAATATCAGATAAGATCTCACCTGAGAATTCGGAAAATTCATTCCATTTTTAAAAGTGCCATAAAACACTTTTTCGACACGCCATGCACGGGGACCTCGATTATGAGCCATCTGTTGTGGCTCTAAAGACCTCAATTTACACCCGCGACTCACAACTCGTGCTGCGCACGCGTGCGAGTGCGTGTGTACAGTGTACGTCGAGATCTTTAGAGCCACATTAGATAGCTCATAATCTCGTTCCCCGCGCACGATGTGTCGAAAAGTTGTATACACCACACGTGCGAGAGGTTAAGTGATTGACACGCGTGCGTCAATCCCTTTCCTCGCGCACTAGTATCGTAATGTACTATTAAAGATGTGTTTTTCGATGTACCATTCAAATTGTATCCTCAACAGGTGGGCTCAGGTAAGTTTTTGGTATAAGATAGTCACCTGAAATCTCAGGTGAGAACTCAGCTGATGGGCGTAGTCGGGGATTTTAAAAAAAGTTGTGAGCTTTATAAGTATAATCTATTCAGATTTACAAATTTGTAAATGGACATTTTGAAATTCTTCGTTTCTGAAGTTTACGTGATATGACCATCACACGGTACATTGATTGCACATTTAAATTTTGTTTTGTTTCTTATTTACTTCTTTTTTATATTACACAATAATTAACATTACTTATAAGAACACATTTTTCACAAGAAATTTCATCTTTAAATTTTTCCACAAAATCAATATTAACTAATAATTAATGCTTTATAATCGCCCTATATCAAAAATACCTGGGAGAATTTTAAACTAGAAATCCATATGTCAATCTAGCTATACTCCGATCTTTTTATATCGATTTTCTAGCCATTCCAGGTAGATGTCTCTAATTTTTCTACGTGAATTAATACATTCATCTGGATTGGCTGAAAAATCCACATGAAAAGGCCTGAAAATTTATCTGTATTGACTTGAAAATTGATATGGAAAGACCCTAAAATCTATTAAGATTGTTTGAAAATCCACGTGATAGGATTTGGAAGAGACTGGATTTCCACATGATTTTACACTGTAAACTCCACCTAAATATTATTTTAGGGCACTTAAGTTCTTACATAAATTTTTATATCATTAGCTTCTTTTTTGTACGTATTTAAAAAACGTATTTTGTTATTAAAACTCTCGAGCTGACAGTGGCTAAGTGGTAGAGCGTTTGCCTTCTACCTGGGAGGCTTGGGTTCGATTCCCCGCTCCGTCCACTCAAGGTACCTCTGTGGGATTTTTTCTCCACATGTTCCATTATCACTGCAACTTCTCCTGACTTTTACGGTATAATACTGCGCCGCAGTCAGTTATCAAAAATGGCAACAAATTAAAAACTCATAAAACAAAACATGTGAAATGTGTCATAACGGAGTCCATTAGGTACCCAAAACCAAATAAAGAGCAAGAAGTTATTGAAACTCCACTTTATATTGCGTGGAACCCACGTTGGAGTTTTTAATACAAGATATGCGAAACAAAAAATAGCTAATAACGTGAACATAAGTTTTAAGAGAAACGAAAAACTCTCTCGAAAATTTATCACCATTACTTATATTACCACTATAAACAGAATTAGATCAAATCATTACAATTCAGCTGGATATCTCCATCGCATTCAAATTGTTAATTATCCTCATTTTAAATGCGGTAAATCTAAAGAAAACCTAAATTACATATTGTGGCAATGCGAATTTCATGAGAAAAATAGAGATAAATTTGTAAAAACTCTTGGTTATTGGGGTTATCGTGGTTATATCCAAGGTTATAATCCACGAACCTAATATACCATCGTGCGTCATTCTTTACCAATTTGTACTTCATTGTAATTACTTGTATAAGTGGTCAGGCACTCATAAAATATTTGGTATTTGAAAATATTGATTGCGTATAAACATTCAAAGGATAATATTATAGTGTGAAAAATGTTCTTATGGCGTTAGATATTGTACAAATCAAATTTTTTAACATGGAATCCACGTGAAATAGACTTGGATACTATGTAGAATCTATGTGTAATACGTATGAAATCCACTTGGAACTTATAGGAACACCTGCAACGGGGTGGGGTTTACCATCAACGTTGTTATATTACAAAAGTATATTATAATCTCAAATCGAGGATCAACTTCCACAACTCCTCCGTTAGCGTTAGTATAATCCAAGCATGCACGGCGACGATGTTTGATTAAATGATCCAAGCCTACCCGAAACGAGTCCTGTGTCCTATGCGGGTCGTCGAAAGGCTCGCGCTCCAGATCTTCCACCATACGTATGAGCCGGCCATTCTCCTTGACCAAGTCCTTGAGCTTTTGCTGAAGCTTTAGCACCAATCCCACGTCGACCGGTGCGTGACTTGGCCCATTCACTTTGACCTCTGAGGGACTGTGCGAGCGTTTTGCTTGTCCTTCCAAAATCTGCTGTTGCTGTTGCTGCTGTTGGTTCCAGTCGATCGTCTCGACTCGCGAGTACGCTGTGCTCGAGGACGCCGTTGATCTCACCGAGCCGTAACCAAAGTCCTGCAAATGCGAGCCACACTTGAAATAAAGAGTTTTTTATAAATTTAGAAACTAAGATCGTAACACTGTCAAGATGCAAGCTTTTAGCATCGGCTCGTGGGAGAACATTTATGAACGTTCCAATATTCTCGTAAGAATACCATTTTTTACTTTTTTCGCTCATTCGATCTCAAGGGTTTTCAATGACAAATGAACATATACTTTACATTACCAAGATCTTATCATCAACTTGAAATAACACAAATAAAATAATTCCACTCGTTAATTCACTCAATATTCAAATAAACAATGTGTTACCACATGTTACATATAAAGTAAACTATTCGTACACCTATGTCAATAAAATAGCAATAAAGTTTGTTGGGCACTAAGTTTTGACGCTCCATCTAATTCTGGTTATTGCGAATAAGTCATTTAGGGAGTTTTATTGCGAAAAAAACACTTGTAATTTTACAACATTTTCAGAGGAAATTGCCAATTGACGCTCCATCTTATTCTGGTTATTGCGAATAAGTCATTTAGGGAGTTTTATTGCGAAAAAAACACTTGTAATTTTACAACATTTTCAGAGGAAATTGCCAATTGACGCTCCATCTGATTCTGGTTATTGCGAATAAGTCATTTAGGGAGTCTTATTGCAAAAAAAACACTTGTAATTTTACAACATTTTCAGAGGAAATTTCCAATTGACTCTCGAATCGCGAACTACCTTACCAATTTTGAGAGACTTGTAACAAACACTATCGGAATAACAGAACAACGTTTAGCTATTCGGTATGATACTTTAGCGAGTCCTCCGGGTAAATCAAAAACAAGCAAACACGCAAAAAAACTTACAATGTTCTCGTGATCTTGAGCGAGTTCGGTAACGGCATTGTTCTGTCCACTGCCGCTGGACGCGTTGCTGAGCGACCTCGCGTGTCCAGGAGCGAAGCGCGCGAGTTTTTGTTCCAGCATCTCACTGCGTTGCTCGAGCTCGTAGTAGTCTTTGAGGAGGCGCTGGTAGGCACCCCGATCTTGATCCTGGTCGAGTAGCAGGAGGTCTTTCTCGCGTTCGAGGCGTGACTTGACGTAGTCCTCGGCACCCCGCTCCTTGCTGCGCATCTGCTCACTGAGGATAGCCAGTTCAGCACGCAGACGCTCGTTTTCCTCCGTCAGCTTGCGGTTTTCCGCGTCCCTTTTTGTTCCCTTTCGCTCCTTGGCCTATGGATTTTTTTGTACGGAACAACGTTACTTGAGATTAGTACGGAAACCAGGTCTCATACGTGGATCGTCAGATCTCTTGAGGAGATGAGCAGTTTTTTGCGCCTTTGTAATCACTTTAGGCTCACGGGCCCAACATACTTTTCTGCCTTAGAGCCCAAAGTGATTTACTGGGCGCAAAGTGTGCCCACGGGCCCAAAATTGCACTTTGCGCCCTAGGTAAGAATAGTAGTTTTCGTCGGATAAGCGCCATCGCCTCTGGGGCTATTTTGCGGCCCGAGGGTCTTGCGAAGCAGGCCCGAGGGTTCGTAAGGTTGCCCCGGAGGCATGGAGCTTATATGGCGAATACCATTTTTCCTACCGAGAGCACACCAGCCTCTCAAAAACGCTCAAGGTAGGAAAATAGTAGTTTTCCTACGAGTTTGAAAAGTCTTTGTTTGCGAACCGAGAGGTTTGCGGCCCGAGCCAAAGGCGAGGTCCGTAACGAGGTTCGTAATGGTAGTTTTCCTACGAGTTTGAAAAGTCTTTGTTTGCGAACCGAGAGGTTTGCGGCCCGAGCCAAAGGCGAGGTCCGTAACGAGGTTCGTAAAGGAGACTTGAGACTCGTGGTTTTGGGAGGCTGGTACTTCCTTGGGCAAAAAAAGTACATTACATCACTAGGGCACAAAGTACAAACATAAGTGTCCGAAGGGTACGGTTGTTGTATGTTAGTGCCCGAGTCGCGTATTAGTAGTTTTCCTACGAGTTTAAAAAGTCTTTGTTTGCGAACCGAGAGGTTTGTGGCCCGAGCCGAAGGTGAGGTCCATAACGAGGTTCGTAAAGGAGACTTTTCGAACGAGTATCGGAAAACTGCTTTTCCACCCTCGGGTGGTTTTGAGAGGCTGGTACTTCCTCGGGCAAAAAAGCAGTTTTCCGATACTCGCTCGAAAAGTCTCCTTTACGAACCTCGTTACGTCCCTCGCCTTCGGCTCGGGCCGCAAACCTCTCGGTTCGCAAACAAAGACTTTTCAAACTCGTAGGAAAACTACCATTTTACTCCCGCGAAAATTTGCAAACGTAACAAAATGTAAGAAAAAGTAATAACGTGTAATAATATACCGTGACCGCAAGAAAACGTAAGAAAATGTAAAGAACTGTAATATTCTCATAGATTTTGGACGTTATTTAAATTTTATTATGTTGAGTTACGTTTGTTTACATTTTCTTTACATTTTATTATGATTTACCACTTACACTGAAACTAATAATTTTTAAACTTTTTTTCATTGAAAGTAAATTTCATTCGAAAATGTGAGAAAATGTGTCGAAAAATTATTAATGATAACAAAATATAAAAAAGTGTAATAAACTGCCAAAAACTGTAAGCTGTTATAAAATATTACAGACGACAACATTTCCTTACAGTTTGTTAGAGTTCATTACAGTTGCTTTTTCACACGGTTCAAGTGCCTTTTTTTAATCATTATCAAATGCAACGAGTCGTAAGATAATTTGTTAGGTTGTAGTGGACTATAATCAAACATAACAAAACGTAACAAACGGTAACTGCAATATCACAGAAATTTACGGTTTGTTATGTTTTTTGACATTAATTTTTTCCGATGGGGTAGAAACTATTTTTGGCAATGTTTATTCGCCATCGAACATTTTGACTTCAAATAAATATATGGTCACTCTGCGTTCAGTTGGATTAAAACGTCCTTACTGATTTTACAGAAACCAACGATATCGTTACAGTGGCTGTTGATTATTTCGTGAAAATGACTAGAATAACCAACCATTTCACAAATCATATTTGGCACATACAATTGACTTTTGAAACTTTGTCTGCTATTATGGCTGAATACCACCGATGATTTTTCATAATTTAATCAAGCCAAAAACCCGTGTGTGGTGTCTAAAAAAAAAAAAAAAAAACTCACTATCTTCACACCACACGCCCTGTCGATCCCTGCACTGACCTCCATCAGCTCCATCTTCTCTTTTCTCTCGTCCTCTACTTGTTTTCTCAACGCCATTAGCTCCTTGTCCTTTTCGAGAAGCAATCCGTTGAGCTTTTTGTGTTCCATTTCCAAAGCTTTGTGGCTCTCGAGCTTCGTTTTCATCTCACCCATTTCCAGCTGTATCGCCTTGTTATGCTGATTCTCCTTCGCCTGCAACGAGCGCAAAGCGGGTTTCGCTTCTATTAGGGATGGCGGTCATTTGGGTTCTTGGAAAGATACGGCCACGTCCACGTGCCTTATCTTCGACTTGGTCGTCTCTCCCTCATTTTTGTTTTTGTTTTTGCAGTTTATTTCAAAAACTATCCCTTTCTTCGTTTTACGAAGACTTTATTGGGGTACACAAGAGACGCCAGACGAATGTCAATAGTCATGTTTAAACAATGATATTGCAAGTTGGTGAAAAAAGTTACTATAAAAATGAATTATAGTTTCGTCGATTCAACTGGTATGCTTGATCGTACGTGTGTGAAACTACCGTGAAGAATGAAAGAATCCCTTGTGAAAAATGACTATGTGTTTTTCGATTAAAAGAAAGTACTCGATTAGCATAATTTTGTTTGAAAAAATTTTAAATTACTTGAGAGTCTGTACATTCCCGTAGACGGTGAAAAAATTTTTTTAAATCATTTTACGTTGCCCGTAATTTTAAAATACTCACAGTCTGTTGGTGCAGGTGAACCAGAAAAATAGTTTCTATTAGACTATACAGCATGATATGTAACGGTGGCATTTCCCGAGAACCGCGTGTAGAGCGATTTTTTCTGATGCTAACCCCGTTGGAATTAATTTTTTAGGGCAAATAGCTTTTAAATAGGAGCCGATTGAAAATACGTTCCAAACTACCCCTAAATGGGGTTGGAAGGCTATAGCCAAGTGCCCGGGAAGTACCCGGCAAGTGCCCGGGAAGTACCCGCCAAGTGCCCGGGAAGTACCCAGCAAGTGCCTGGGAAGTACCCGCCAAGTACCCGAGGAAGTGCCCGGGAAGTACCTGCCAAGTGCCCAGGAAGTACCCGGCAAATGCCCCGGAAGTATCCGAGGAAGTACCCGGGAAGTACCCGACTGTATTGTACTAGGCGGGTACTTCCCGGGCACTTCTCGGGTACTTCCCGGGCACTTGGCGGGTACTTCCTGGGCACTTGCCGGGTACTTCCTGGGCACTTGGCGGGTAATTCCCAGGCACTTCCCGGGCACTTGTCAGGTACTTAATTATTGCAATTTATGAATGGACTCGTTTCTAAATCGTGTACAGACGACATACCCGGGAACATAAGCAAGACATACCTAACAACAATATTTTTGACCGAGAGCTCGACTATTTTTGCAAAAATGCTATCGTGTAGAGTGGAAAAATCCTTGCTGATATGGTATTTTACTTTCATTCGAGGTAACATTACTCAAGCATAAAAATTTAAAGATGTTTTTGTCCAACATGAGAGTGAGAAAGACAGTAAGCGCATGGATAAACAACTGACAACTTAAGGAGCAGACAATATTTACCTTAAGGTAAAAATTTTTACATCCAACCTTCAAGTTACCAGCAGTAGCTGACGCTCTTGCGTGCGCACATGGATATAGTTCTCACTGCTTACCGACTAAGCTCCAATAACAATGTGGCAACGTCGCGAGTTCATGCGGGCGCACTATAGCCTTCCAACCCCATTTAGGGGTAGTTTGGAACGTATTTTCAATCGGCTCCTATTTAAAAGCTATTTGCCCTAAAAAATTAATTCCAACGGGGTTCGCGTCAGAAAAAATCGCTCTACATGCGGTTCTCGGTAAATGCCACCGTTATATATCATGCTGTAGATATACATTATTTTTTGTGTGAAAGAAGAATAGATGAAGGGAACCATGTACAGTTATCAAAAGAATTTTCTTTATTATTAAGCTCTTTCGTTTAATAAGTGCCGAATGTATTATACATGAAGAAAGTTTTATAAAACATCAAACAATAAAATAAATGGCAAAAAAGACGAAAGTACAATTACACATGTATGTATACGTATAAGCAAGTAATGTTAATTCGATCTACAAACCAAGTGCTCTAATGCAAAATGAGTGAAACGTAAGAAAAGCATCAATGTTGTAATCTAAGCATGTTGTAATGGCCAATGAATAAAAAATAACAACAAGCTATATGAGTCAGCAGAACAAGAAAACTAAAAAAAGCAGCAATACAGCTCGAAGATAAGGCAGCCAAGTTTTACTAAAACTCGATGACCTTACCAATTCGTTGATCTTATGCTGCAGGTTAATGATCTTCATCTCGAGGCCCTTGTTTAGCGACTTGACGTGCTCGACGCTACGAGCCTCGGCCTTTAATCGCCTGAATACCTTTTTGGCCAGATACTTGCGCACGCAGGACTGCACGATCACGATGTCACGAAGCTTTCGCTTGTAAGCTTGTCGCGCCAAGTAACCTCGCGCGTACCTGTAACATTATGTATATACCACGCTTATCAAAATTTTACATTTACTAAAGGTATGTTGCGCACCAACTCAAAACGTGCGATCCATTTTACTAAAATTACTTAATTGATTACTGAGCTAAAATTTTCCTTTCTAGTAACAATTATTAAACGATATTTTCCAATGCAAACACCAGAGATTGGAGATACTCTATCAACATAACTCGGAGTTCAACGGTGTATTGATCAAATTCAATCAAACAGAGCCGAAGAAAAGAAAAGTCACCTCTGTATCTTGATAGCTGCAGCGACGTCCTGCATGTGCCTGAACTTCCGTCGGGCCAGCATCCCCCTGGCATGGGTCTGCAAAGCCAGCGTAGTCTTCCTGATCGCCAAATATCTCCTCCTGCACATCCATCTCCGCACCCAGGCCTGTATCCTCGTGGCCGCCCGCGTCTCCCTGATCGCCCGAGCCTTTCTGCGCCCCAAGTAACCCCTCACGTGTCTCTGCAAGCCCAGCACCGCTCGTAGGATCTTGCGGTACCGCGACGCGGCCATGAACCCGCGCGCCGTCTTTTGGATGATCAAGCAGGCGTTCCGCTGCCTATCGGCTCGCAACTTTTCCAGATAGGCCACCTGTCCCGCCCGAAACAGTACCTTCGTCTTGCCGAACTTGAACTTGTCCGCATCCTTTATGTAAGCCCCGAGTATCCGGCGACAAGTCTCCCTCAGGTCGTCCCTGCGTATGTCTTTGAACTTGCACAGGCAGCGGTAACGCTGGAAAAAGTCGGTGTAGGTGCGTTGGCTGGGGAAGCCCGCGGCCGAGATGCGGATGGTTTCGAGGACACCGCAAGCCCGGAGCTGCTGCACGGCTCGCTGTGGATTGTACTCGAACGGTTTCTTCGAGTCGTTCGGCTTGATACAGCGCACGTAGTGGGGCGTCGTCGCGTTCAACGTTGCCATCAGCATGTTCAGCGAGTCACGGAACTGCGAGCCCACCTGTCGGTTTACGTTGGGTGTGTAAGTACATTGCAATAAGCATATATGTCCATGAGTCGTTTGCTTTTTAAATACTCACTGTTTTTTTGTTTTTCGCCATTGGCGTGGGAGCACTCGGTTTCTGGGGCAAAATTCTCACCCTGACGTTCGGTACTGACAGCTTGGGGTCTTCGTTGGAGAATAATTGCTTTAGAAGCGCGTTCTGTCGCGAGGTTAACATGTATTTTTTTTTTTTTTTTTTTTTTTTTTTTCGTTATCATCAAACGTTGATTTGTATGTGATGGTTTTAATTTACATGTATACTTACGTCGCTATTCTTTAAAATTTCTATTTGCTCCTCGACAACCGTGTCCCTATTTTTTTCGAGGAATCCAGTTGTCTCGTACTGGACCAGGTCAGCAAAGTGATGAATAACAAAAGCGGACGTCCTGAAACGCGGCTTCCCAAAGTGCTTTGACTTCGAGCATTTCGCGTAGAGCTTTTCAGCCCACGAGCTGTCCGAACCTTTTGGCATCTGAAAAGAAGAACTTGGCCATAGCGTCCTTTTGCCGCGTTTTACATTTCTGCTTTTTCAACCTACCCTGCACTCTTCGTCCAGCAAATCCAAAATGCCGAGTTTCGCCTCGATGAGATCGATGCACGGTTGGTTGTCGTAAAAATCAATGAACGTCCACTCAATCTCCTCCCTCAAATATTCCTCCTGTTCCAGTTTGAACACGTGCTGGTTGAACTGCTGCTGCAGCTTTTCATTCGCGTAATTGATGCTGAACTGTTCAAAAGAGTTGATGTCGAATGTTTCGAAGCCGTAGATGTCGAGGACTCCGATGAAGCACTGAACATTGGATGGCGCTTGCAGGGATGCGTTGATGTGGGCTACGATCCAAGCGAACACTTCGGCGTAAATGTGTTTCGCTAAAGCGTCCCGGGCGCCGATCGCCTGTTCCGTGCTCATGGGTTTTAGGATTACTTCGCGCATCGAAACTATTTTACGGTGACACAGCCATTTGCGCATCGCCGATAGATCGAGACCCAGCAATTCTGTCATTATTAGTAAGTGTCTGTCGGTTGGCTGTTAATGTTAAAAGTAATTAGTCCTCAATCTGCATGGTCGTCTAGTTAAGGGGACGCACTATGACAACTTTAAACGTGACATCTATTTTTATCGATAAAGTTAAATTTATTTTACATTTTTAACGAAGAACAATTCGAATCAGTAGATCTACGGATAAGATATATTATTTTGTGACAGTAATTTTAAGATTTATAAGTTTTCTTTAGAGTTGATGCTCATTTCAACATGACGTTTCAAAAGAAAATCACTTCAGAACAGCAAATTTGATATTTTGGTAAACAATCAAATAAGAGTTTGTAAAACAGACTGATTAGTAATTATTCCTTTTGCTGTATTTATCAGTATTTCTAAATACCGTTAAGATTACCCACTATCGATAAAGCAGATTTTCTCTACAGGTTTCCCTGTTAACACAGACTTTTAATGTTAATCACAAATAAACTTTGTAGATTTCTTAAGGCCTGTACCTAAGGTTTAAGATATTTATCTAAAAGATTTTTTTAACATTAGAAGTCTGTGTTTGGTGGGTTGGTCTATCCTAGTAGCACATCGTAAGTTTTGAGAAGCAGACCCATGCGCTTCTTACGCAAGTGCATAAAAATTTCTTAAGAATTGCACGGGTCTGCTTCTCAAAACTTACGATGTGCTACAAGGGAATACTAGACCCTAAGATCCAATAACAATCTTACAAGCTTACCGATATATGACAGCTGTCACTATCTTGTGAACCCTTGCCATTCGAACTACTCAACACGTTGACGTTGCCCAGATGCAATATTGCTGCTAAAATGCGTAGCATGTCGTCCTGCTGTTTGGACGTAAAACCGAGCAACGTCAGCGCGCTAGTGGTATCGTCAAAGCACTTAAGGTCACTGACACCGTCTATTTCCAAACTACCACCCTGGTTCAAGTAATAGAATTCTTGATCACTTAAATAAAGATGTGGCAGACGTTTTGCAGCTGCATACATCTGGTAAAATATGTGGTAGTTCCGCTCATCATTGGCCTGAAAAAAAGTTTTAACTCCAATGTTATCAACCATGATTACCTTGAAATCTACAATCATCAGCTTTGTGACTCTATGCTTTACCTGGAAAACAACCCTTGATTTCTCAAGCAGGTAAGTCCTCATGCTTGCCCCAATAATGTGATAGTTCTTATTGAACTGGATCTCGATGAACTTGCCAAAGCGCGAAGAATTGTTATTCCGTGTGGTTTTAGCATTACCGATAGCCTCCATAATTGGTGACGAGGCTAGCACCTTTTTTTCGACCTGCGTCTCTTTTGACGAACCACCGACCGTCGCGAAGTAGCGCATTGCATATTTGGCCGATACTGTTTTGCCAGCGCCAGACTCGCCTGATACGATGATCGATTGGTCGTGACTTTCTCTACATTAATGTTCAAATGAAAATTCAAAGGAATTGTTCATAGTAATAGAACTTACACAAAGGACCAAGATCTCGATTTTTCAATTTTGAGTTTAACAACTTGATGAAAGATGAAAAAAAAAATTGTTGATTTCCATACATGTAACCAACCAAGAAAGCACTTTATTCATTGAAACAATTGTTAGAATAACTTTGGGGGAGGAGAAGTCTTGTAACCAATTGACTATAATTTGTATTCCAAATTCAAGTAATGAAATTTTAATTTCAGTTAATTGACTTGAGAAATGATATTTAACTTTTATTTATAGCAAATAATCTTTTTTCTTGGTGCACGTGCACTGACGATAGTGTACTGACATCACAATGAATACCTAACAGATACTTTATGAAGAATTTTTAAGACCTTGTACTTTGGAGACCAAACATTAATAATTACAGTTTTTATAAATTTTAAATAGATTTTTATGGATAAATCTTTGTTTCAGCTCTGTTGGGCTTACTGTCGGTACTGACAGCTTGGGGTCTTCGTTGGAGAATAATTGCTTTAGAAGCGCGTTCTGTCGCGAGGTTAACATGTATTTTTNTATAAATTTTAAATAGATTTTTATGGATAAATCTTTGTTTCAGCTCTGTTGGGCTCAATATAAGACATGTGTCTTGATGTTAATTTCAATCAGAGATTTTTACGTGAGATAAGCATTTAATATCGAATTAACTTGTAATGGTATAGCAACAAAGTAGTAAACAATTTTAAACAGTTCTCATACAGTTTAAACGATGGATGGAGTCAAGCGCTATGGATAAGAAAAGTTTTTGTTTAATTTAGTGCTACCAATGCAAAATTATAGCGGTGTAAAGAGCAATAACAAATTTTCAGCAAATATCCATAATATCTCATTTTTTGGGAATTTCATTGCTCTTCTTTTGACACTGGTAATTTTTGATCGTTAGTACTAAATTAAACAAATTTTTGTTTATCTGTATGGCTTTTTATTTCAGCTGCAGCATACCCAGACGCACTAAAGACGAACGTTTTTTTCGTATATTAATTAAAATCCACTACTACAAAATGTCATGTATCTTTTGCTTTAAAAATTTTTTTTTAATCCTTTCTGGTCTTCTTTATAAATGACATTTAGGTTGCGCTTACACGCAATATTATTTACTTAAATTGTTCAAAGTTTGAATTATGTTTAAATTTTAGTTTCTGAAAATTATCAACAAATCTAGAAAAAAACACCTTATATTAATAGAATTGTTGCATTAGCTATTACTAAAGAAAAAATAGGTGAGATAACACTTTTTGTTGGCACATTAAATGTTGTTATATCTGTAAGGTTATGCAAGAGACCCAGCTAACCGACCATTAATATCTATATAAAAGATAAAAGTTGTAAATTATTATTTAACAAATTACATCATGAACACAATTATTGTATCGATGCTTTCTTACTAAAACGTCGGTAAAAAATTTTTTCTTCTAGTTAAACATACTACATTTGTAAGACCAAAGAAAATTCAAACTTTTCCGAGGCCTTTCAATTTTAAATAAATTATATATAAGCGTAGCCTAACAATAAATATTTGAGAAGATAATGTTTTTTTTAAACAAACTTTTTTTTTCTTTTTTTTTTAATTTGGTCTGAGACAGTTACGGAAGAATTGATCATACAGATATAAAAAGTAAAGTGCGCTATCTCCATACAACCCTGTACCCTCATGCTCCCTTGAGTGTAAAAGAGACCGTTGCCGAGAGGCCCCAGTAAATGCATGTTAACTGGCGGGCCCTTGTGCAGCTTTATCTTTGGCACGTGGTGTCATTGCACAGTACAGGGATATATAAAGATAGCTCACTTTGTTCTTATACCTCTATAGAATCAAATCGATCACATGCGAAATGTAATGTTGCTAATCTGCGATACAGTATACTAGCCAAATAAAATATGTATAACCTTCTGACTGTAACCTGTGGTTGTAATTAGTTACTAAGGACTGGCAAACTTTCATTTTCATACTTTGTTCTAATGCACGACATGTATGAAAAATATGTGAAATAATTCAAAACTCTCACCTCTCTAGTTTGGTGTAAGCCTCCTCGGCAACGGCGAAGATGTGGGGCTCGAGGTCGCCCATAGCCTGTCCCCTGTATGCCCATATCGTGTCGGTGCCATAAATTGGCAGTTCAGTGTATGGATTAAACGCCACTAGCACGATTCCACAGTAGGTGTATATACTGTGTCTCTGGAATCGGACCTGCAAGTTGAACAAAACACCGGGCTCGTGCAGAAACGACAGCGAGGTTAGGTTTTTCTCGCCAATGAGAATATCGGGATTGCGCAGAGGTGGTAAGTCGCTGTCCGATTTTATGTCGATATTGCGAATCTCGTCCCCATCTTCGATGCGCAGCTGAAGAGTTGACTTTTCGGAGCTGTAGTCCTCGAGTAGCACTGCGTACTCCCATACCTTTTGAGGGTTGGGTGTCCAGACGCGAGCACCCTGAGGATCAAAGTTGTGATGGGTAAGTCAAGGTTATATGGTATTAAATTCATATTTATTGTAAACGTTTAACTTGACATAAAATAATGTAATGCAGAAAGAAAATTAAGTAACGGCGAAGTTGATAATTGTCAAGTTAATGTTACTTGAAAAGTCTTCTGATCAATCTTGAAAACAGTTAATTTTCATTTTTAGAACGAAGTTCTTTATGTCACGTTACTCGGGGGGCTGGAATTTTAAAACCAACAGATTTTTTTTTTTTAAAACGAAAGTGGTTTACCCATTCTCTTTCTCTCAAGTTTCCCCCCTTACCCCGTCCCCCCTCACCTACTGTTCTCTATACACTTCCCATATCTGCCAACCGTGCTGTGTTACTCTTCTGCACACCTTTACCCCTCACAGTCCCAAGCAATTAATTTTTAAACAAATTTTAATTTTATTTTCCCACAATAATTTTTATTTGACTTAAAATTTTTTTCTTTAACAATTATAAAAAA